CATACATCTGGCAGAAGGAACCATGTACATCTGGCTCTCAGCAGAATCTATAAAAGTTTGGAAAGCCCTTCTTTTGGAGAGTTCCAGCATACTTTGCTGAAACCTTTCAGGTAAATTTGGCAGAGGGCAGTGGGAGTCCCCTAAGGGACCAGGGATCACCTGGGCTCCTCCTTCCTCGTCCATCACTTCCATGTCTGCTTTTTACCATCTGCTTTTGTCCATTTTTCTCTGAATGAATATGCTCTGACAGAGGCTGTCATTTCAAACCCTCTAACACTGGTTTTCCTGCCTCTCATCTCATTCTTCTCTCTCTTATCTATCCTGCAAACTATTATCAGTTTCATCTTTTCACAATGCAAATCTGATCATATTGCACCATTACCCAGAACCCTCCAGGGATGCGCAGCACTGTGTTGATGACCGCCACCCCCTTCTTTGTCAAGAGTCAAGGTTTTTGTCCAGTTCCTCATCAGCCATTGGCTTCCAGAATCCCTGGACTCCAGCTCCAGAACCAGTCAAGCCAATCAAGTAATCATCTTGCTAATCCTTGACTTAAGAAAGGGCATAAGAAATTGAGGGATGAGAGCAAGCCTATTGGAATAGGGGAGATTTTAGGAAAGGATTCTTCATTTTTAAAAAGAAACACAAAGAAGGGATCCTGAAAAGGAGACACATAAAAGAGATATAATTCTTTTCTGCCTCTGGATGTTGCCAAGTGAGGATGCAGTGCCCAAGGCCACTGCAGCCATGTTTTAATCATGAGAAGAGTGAGCAATATAATGAGGATAGAACAGGAAACAGGTGAAAATAACTGAGCCTTTGATGACACTATGTTGTGCCCTTTCTCTGGGCTTCCAGTTGTATGAGTTAATGCATTTTGTTTAGTGGTTAAACCTCCAGAGGTGACTTTTTCTGTCACTTGCCACGAAAAGCATCTTGAATGACTCACACTGAATAGTGAATAAATTTCAAATTACTTTGCGTAGCATAAGAGGATTTTCATCATCTGTCCCTGTTTACCTGTCCAACCCCCTCTCCCTTTGTCTGGCGTGTCACACCCGTGCCTTGCTGCGCAGATTCTCCATTTCTTCACATTCTCTCTCTGGTGGACAAGCGTCTCCTTGTCCACCTGGCAAAGTCTTTCTAATTCTTCAAGATTATTCTCAAGCTCCCCTTCTTTTCCATGCCTTCCTCTCCAGGTAGGACAGACCTTCTCTTCCTCATGGCCCCTCCTCTCTTTCTCTCCCCTTTGCCTGCTTTTCCTTATGCCTCACCTCAGTTTCAGGACCAGTCTCACCCCAGGCAATGAGATTTTTACATGGTTTCCCTCCCTCCTCAGCCGCCTTCTCTAGTTAGCTCTGAGCTCCTTGAGAGCAAAGACCACATCTTAATCAGTTCTCTTGCTCACAGGAGTTCACGACAGTGCCTGGCACATCATAGTCACTTAATAAATACCCGTTGAAAGTGATTTATGTGAGGTAACTTGGATGAAAGCTGAGAGAAGCAGGAACGATGTCCAGGCAAATCTGAGAGGCTAGAGACTGGAATGGTGGTGTGCAGTGTGAGTGTGTGTGCGTACACACATACTGGCTGCTGTCTGGGTTCCTCTGTTGAGGGAACCCTTGAAAAGGTGTCTGTGTGAAGTGTTAACAGGTGGGCTTGTGTGAGTGAAGTCTTCTGTGTAAGGGGCTATGAAAGGGAGTTTGTCTGTGTAACTGAGCAGTCTGTGAGACTCTTTGGAGTGAAATTCTGAGAGCTGAATCAGAAGTATGGAAGGAACTTATGTAGATTTTTCAGACCACTCAAAATTTTGGTCAGGCTCAGATCTTTTCCTCCAGCTGTCTTTGCTATCTTTTAAGTCCTAGTTTCCAGCCCTCTAATTTTTTCATTTCCACTCACCCTGACCAAGTTTTCCACATCCCTTTCAAGGAACCTGAATTTAATGGGGAAAAATATTCTTAATAGCAAGCAGATTATCACTTATTATAGGTATAACCCCAGTGCTTAAAAAAATGTATGAGGAGTGAATGGGACCCATCTTGAGGACCTCCAACCACTGGATGGTTTAAGATCAGGTGATTTAAGATGATGATTTAAAATTGTGGGTGCTTTTGCTTTTGTTAGTTTTGTCTTGGAGGAAGATGCTTGGTCCCATCAGAGCTGCAAGGAACCAACACAGATTAGGGACCCAAGGGATCACCCTCACTGAAGCTGGTCTGGGGAACCCCTCTTCCATTCTGGGGGTAATTTTCTTTGTTTTTATGGGTAACATGGACCTCATTTTTCAGAACGTATTTACCAAGTGAAGTCTGAATAAGAGCAGAAAAGAAGCATACCCAGCATTCCTCTTTATTCTTCAAGACCACCCCATGAAGTCCCATCTTACAGACAAAGAAACTGGGGTCTAGAGATGTTAAGTGACTGTCTCGGTGGGGAATAACAGAGCTGGGGTTTCACCTCCAGCCTGTCAGAGGGAGGGCCACAAGGGGAGTCTCTGAGGAGAGCTGGGGACCATTTTGCTTTTAGTTTTGTTTCTTCAGCTCTCACATTAGTCCAGGAAATACAGGTTTGAGACCAGGAGGAGATGCTCCAAGGTGCCTGGAGGAGGAAGCTGTGTCCCTCAGAGGTGCGCCAGTGGCCAGACCAGCAGGGCCCAGTCACAAAGCCCCTGGAATCAGTGCTGAGCTGCGAGCAGGAATGGGCCTGGTTCAGTAACAGATGCTTGGATATTCATTAGATGAACTAGTGCACAAAAGGAACAGAGATAAGGTGGGAAACATTTGACTTTGAGAGAATTGCAGTTCTCTCAAAAATACACCAGAGAAATGACAAATTCTGCTGCATGGTTTTCCTGTGTTGAAGTCCCCAGTTTCAAGGTAGACCTCAGCTTAAATTGGATATCCTTAAAGAGAAACAGACAAAAACATTGACGCTAGATTTAGATAAACATATGCTTAGCAGAATGACAAAAAAAAAAAAAGACACTTTCTTTTCTTACTATTTTTTTTTCTAATTAAAGCTTCAACTAGAATTTTTGAAAAATAAGAACTGTGTCTCCTTGCTGCTCTCCACTGGTGGAGAAATAGTCCTAATTAAATTTCCCATCTACATCACTTGAAATCCAAATCAAAAGTTATCTAAAAATTTTCCTGGACCTTGAAAGAGGTTAGGTTTCATTCATAAATGCTGAATGTTTTCAGCTGCTGTGCCAAATATGAATTGGCAGAGAAAGTTACCCTGGTCTTCTTTCTTTAGAGAAAAAGACTTGGAAAGATCCAGTCTGTTTTTTTAAGGAGGGTGGTTGGTCTAGAGAGGCCAGGGAAGGAATCCTGTCAGAATGTGAGTTTCCACCCTTATTTTACACCCTAATGCCATTCTTAGGCCCTTCACTAACTGCACCTCTAATATTCATTGTTCCAGATTTGAAAAGAAATCTCATACAACACAAAATTGGGAGGTGATGGGTTTTGTGTTTGAGAGCATTAACCCCTGCTTGGGTAAAAAGCTAACTGATTTACAAAGAAACTGAACTAACCCACTTCTTTTTTTTTTTTTCATTTATTTTTATTAGTTGGAGGCTAATTACTTTACAGTATTGTAGTGGGTTTTGTTATACATTGACATGAATCAGCCATGGAGTTACATGTATTCCCCATCCCAATCCCCCCTCCCACCTCCCTCTCCATCCGATTTCTCTGCGTCTTCCCAGTGCACCAGGCCCGAGCACTTGTCTCATGCATCACACCTGGGCTGGTGATCTGTTTCACTATAGATGATATACATGCTGTTCTCTCAAAACATCCCACCCTCACCTTCTCCCACAGAGTCCAAAAAGTCTGTTCTGTACATCTGTGTGTCTTTTTCTGTTTTGCATATAGGGTTATCGTAACCATCTTTCTAAATTCCATATATGTGTGTTAGTATGCTGTAATGTTCTTTATCTTTCTGGCTTACTTCACTCTGTATAATGGGCTTCAGTTTCATCCATCTCATTAGAACTGATTCAAATGAATTCTTTTTAACGGCTGAGTAATATTCCATGGTGTATATGTACCACAGCTTCCTTATCCATTCGTCTGCTGATGGGCATCTAGGTTGCTTCCATGTCCTGGCTGTGATAAACAGTGCTGTGATGAACATTGGGGTGCACGTGTCTCTTTCAGATCTGGTTTCCTCAGTGTGTATGCCCAGAAGTGAGATGGCTGGGTCATATGGCAGTTCTATTTCCAGTTTTTTAAGGAGTCTCCACACTGTTCTTCTCCAGAGTGGCTGTACTAGTTTGCATTCCCACCAACAGTGTAAGAGGATTCCCTTTTCTCCACACCCTCTCCAGCATTTATTGCTTGTAGACTTTTGGATGGCAGCCATCCTGACTGGCGTGTAATGGTACCTCATTGTGGTTTTGATTTGCATTTCTCTGATAATGAGTGATGTTGAGCATCTTTTCATGTGTTTGTTAGCCATCTGTATGTCTTCTTTGGAGAAATGTCTGTTTAGTTCTTTGGCCCATTTTTTGATTGGGTCATTTATTTTTCTGGAATTGAGCTGCAGGAGTTGCTTGTATATTTTTGAGATTAATCCTTTGTCTGTTACTTCGTTTGCTATTTATTTTCTCCCATTCTGAGGGCTGTCTTTTCACCTTGCTTATAGTTTCCTTTGTTGTGCAAAAGCTTTTAAGTTTAATGAGGTCCCATTTGTTTATTTTTGCTTTTATTTCCAATATTCTGGGAGGTGTAACCCACTTCTTTATGCATCACCTTTATTAGTTGCAACCCCAAGTTTTCCTTAAAACAGTAATATTTCACTTTTCTACTTTATATCCATTGAAGACATCCCACCATACTGCATTATTACCCATATGCAATTAAGTACTGCATCCGTGCACTTGGATTTTATTAACATGGATAGAAACTATTAGATCATCTCATTGATAAAAGATTTTCCCCTGACATCTTGTTCCACCTTGGTTTTCTTGACAAGAGTTTGAGCGAAGGGCTATTTCAAAGGTTGATTCTTTTTCCTTTCACAACGCGCCCTCGAAATGTCCACATATCCTGCAAATAATACCAAACACAATAAGTTTCTGGGAACTTGGATTTACCTATTCACCGTAAGACAAAGATTTCTGGCATCTACAAATGGTTCAATAGTGGGGAAAAAAAGAACCCTCCACAGTAGTCATAAGGTAGTAAATAAAAACCACATTCTGAGACTCCAATTAATTTACTTGCCAGCATCTACAGGTGTTGGAAATGTCTGTTATGTTTGGTCACAATACAGTTTAGTACCCAAGCTCCTGCTGTCGTTGGTGATGTTTGTCTGCCCCATTCTGGGTGATCTGCTCCTGAAAATGATGCCCTAGGCTATTGAATTGGTTTTTTCTTCTTTGTTCCTAATAAGACAATTCAGACGTTTTTGCTTATTTTTTAGCAAACAGCAAGGTATGATGGGAAGAACAGTTTCAGAATTGGACCTCGGAAATCCCTGTCACATACATAACTGAAGCCTATCTCTTGAACTTTCCCTTTTCTCATTAAAAGCGTGGCGCCGTCTCGACTGCTCCATTGAGTCTGGTGAAGAAAAGGGGTAGGAATGCGCTTTGTGCCTGCAAAGAACTCTGTAGCAGAAGTTAGTGTTGTTCTTCTAAGCAAAGTCCATAAACTGTAGCTGAGAGAGTCATGAACTTACTGATTTAGTACAACTCTGACAGACCTCAAACAGAATCTATACATTTTTTTTCCTGCCTTAAAATTCTGTATGCTGGATGGAAGCCCCAACTGGCATAATACCTTGCCTTTGTAGGACATTTAAGTGCTGGACAATGGAAGAAGGCAAGAGCTTCCAGAAGGCGCAAATGTCAGGCCAGAGCATCTTCAGATACAGGGATACATGCAGAGATTCTAGAAAGTAAAGGGGTTAAGATGAAGACTCTTGAACTGGAAAGTTGTTTCAGAAGATAACACCTTGCCACTGGTGTGCGAGGCTCTTCAAAATACTGAGAGGCCCAGAGTTATTATTACACTCAGTCTACTTGGGCATCATGTCACCCCCAAAATAGATGATGTATTTTTGATTATCTAAGGCACGTTTACCAAATAGGGTCAGCTTCTTGCTTCAGGGCCTAAAATATAATCATCTACAATGCAAATAAGTTTGTTTATTTGCCTTGACTGCTAACTTGTTATTGATCAGCAACAGCATGGAATGTTCACTACAGTGAGGTGTATTAATTAGGCAGGCATATGAAATGATCTCTTACACCACTATGAGAACCATCAGTGATCTCCCATCTCTGTTACCTGCAGGCTTTCCTTCAACTCCCAATGCAAACTGACCTAAACAAACACTTGCTTGAGAATTGCTTTCTTTGAGTCTTACTGGAATTCCACATACATACATACTCTCTTCTTCACAAAAAAATATTAAAAAGCAGAGACATTACTTTGCCAACAAAGGTCCGTCTGGTCAAGGCTATGGTTTTTCCAGTGGTCATGTATAGATGTGAGAGTTGGACTGTGAAGAAAGCTGAGCACCGAAAAATTGATGCTTCTGAACTGTGGTGTTGGAGAAGACTCTTGAGAGTCCCTTGGACTGCAAGGAGATCCAACCAGTCCGTCCTGAAGGAGACAAGTCCTGGGTGTTCATTGGAAGGACTGGTGCTGAAGCTGAAACTCTAATACTTTGGCCACCTCATGCGAAGAGTTGACTCATTGGAAAAGACCCTGATGCTGGGAGGGATTGGGGGCAGGAGGAGAAGGGGATAACAGAGGATGAGATGGCTGGATGGCATCACAGACTCGATGGGCATGAGTTTGAGTAAACTCCGGGAGTTGGTGATGGACAGGGAGGCCTGACGTGCTGCGATTCATGGGGTCGCAAAGAGTCGGACATGACTGAGCGACTGAACTGAACTGAACTGAATGGTTTGCAGCCCAAACCTTTAACATCTATGTATTCAGAAGGTCACTTTGTCCTCCGTTTCCTCACCTGTGATTGTGCAATTTCATCTCATACCTGTCTGTTTTGGAACATGATGCCCTGCGTACAACAGGACAGCCCTTAGACTTACAGAATCCAAGTCCCCCACACTAAGGAAACAAGTAGTACAAACAAGCCCCACTGTCACTCCAGGATGTCTCAGCGATGTTTCTGAAACAAGCTGTAAACCCAAGCACTTTATATTTTCAAACTGAATCAGGTAGGAGAAGTATTAAACATCTGAAGAAAAGAAAAAAATGAGATCTTTACCTTGTCATTTCATACAGATATACCTTCAGGCTGGCATTTTTCAGTCCATAGATTTTACAGAATAACTCTTCCATTTTCTTTCCAACATTTTCCTGATTGGTACCCTTCAGATCAATGTAGTGACAGTTGGCATCAGCAAAATGGCATGAAATTGTCTGTGGAAAGTGAATGACTCATGTTAGGAAAAAAAAAAAAAAACACCTCATTAACACCATCAGTCAAGCAATGAGGCATCTTTCAGAAAGTTCTGTCACTGAGCATTTGATTTCTAGATTGAATGCTGTTCCCATGTGTCTTAAATTAGTCTCTCGATAACTCAGCTGCTTTTTTCTTCCAGCTAAAGGCTAACTGAGAAATTGTAAGACATTTTTAACTGTGTAATTTATTATCCAAAGGTATATACGGGGCAGGGAACAGAATTATGTAAGGAAGAAGTCTAACTTTTTTCCATTTGATTTTTGTAATGAGTGAATATTGCCATGTGTTACTAAGGAGTGTATTGCAGGATTTCTCATCATCTCAGTTACAGAAGTTAGTGAAGTTTGTAATGAGTTGTAATGAGGTATTTCCATGGCCACAGAAAATGAAGCAAGAAAAACTGAAAAGACCTTGAAAGGGAAAATAATACGTAGACACCCCTCTCCAGTCCAAAGCACAGTTCCAGTCTGATAGCATTCACATAAAATACTCATCTCGTTTCCTTTTGAAGCTAAGATGGAAGTTATTTGGTTCTCCCCAGTCTCAAAGGACTTACAAACAGATCTAACTTGCAAGGTGATAGTTAAAACTCACCTTCCTTGTCACAAGTTAGTTAACTTAGGGTGACTGCACCCATCAGAAGATCTTCCTACTTCCTACAAATTTCTAGGCAGTTGATTCATGAACTTTATTTCCTATGAAACCCTAGCGCTATGCTAAGCCGTTTTGTAGCCTGAGGCAAAAGGGAAGAAATGTACACTCCTACCTGTAGGCTTTTATGTATTTTTTAATGGTTAGCATTTTCCCAAACATTAAAGCAGTTAAAAATATTGAAAAAATACAAAGTTAAAATATTAAAACACACTATTTCCAGCATAGTGCCTGTTCCTCCCCATTTGCACTGTTCTGAGTGTCATGGTAGTGGAAGCTCTAATCTTGTTTATTTTGAGATCGTGCTCATTGTGAAATTTTTTGTTTTCTGCATTGAGTCTTAGTTGCAGCACGTGGGATCTTCATCGCAGTGCCCAGCCTCTCTAGTTGTAGCACAAGAGGTTAGTTGTTCTTAGGCATGTCAGATCTTAGGTCCCCAACTAGGAACTGAACCAACTTCCCCCAAATTGCAAGGTGAATTTGTAACCACTGGGTCACCAGGTAAGTGCTTCACCATGGACTTTTTGGCATTAATGTTGCTTTACTTTAAATAAGACATTAAGATATTATTTAATTGGATCTCTGAGTTTCTGTTGACCTCCAAGAGAACTGCCTTCTTGCTTCATGCTCATCTCAGTCCTGTTGAGCCTGGTGGATATCTGAATGAATGGAGGATGAAATCTGACAACTAACCCTCAGACACAGGGAGACAAGAGGGCTGTTGTAATAAACTGGAAACCTTCACTCAGCCCCAAAGAAGACACTAATATTTAGTATCAACAGCCATGTCATCCTAGGGAAATGTGAGCCCAGCATATCATCAGATCTGCTGAATTTTAGAGAAGCAAGAAATCTGGGAATTTATGAGAAATTCTGTCAGTTTTTAATGTAAGCACTGATCTCATAAAGCTGAAAACATTCTGAGGCTAAGGAGTGAAAAATATGGCCATATCTGATTTCCGGGTGGCCAACTCACACCTTCCTTTCCAATCAATAATATTTTAACCAATAGCAATAATATTACAGACGTTCCACTTCTGTGACCTGTATACATTCCAAATCTTATTATTTGATATATATGTCTGCCTTTGTCTTTTCCTCTGAAAACATGCTGTCAGTTGCCAAGTTACTAAGCTCTCTGTCTGGAGCAATTCCATGAATGTTCACTAGTGATGGCATCCTAAGGTCATCTGGCTTCTTACTGCTGTAAGCAGCAAAGCACGAGGGAGGCAAATACATTTCCTGGTAAATACACCAGACTAAAGGGCAGCTGAGTTAAAAGTTACAAATCCTTTAACTTTTCATGTATTGGGATACTTTTCTTCCTTATGCATTCATCTTCAAACAGTGCTATGATGTGAACGTGTACCTTCCGAAATCCTTGACTTTTGTTCCGACCAGATCCATGGATGAGCAAAGGGTGAAAGAAAATGGTGTCTCCCTTCTCCATCACCAAGTGCACCCGGGCGTTGTTTTTGTCATAGTCCTGGATCCCGTGGAACATGATGTTGACTCCTCCCTAAAAACACGAGAGAAGGCAAGTCCAAAAGTGACGAAGCCAAGAATTAAAACTCTTATCAGTGATTCATCAGGGAAAACAAAGCTTCTCTAAGTTCTTCCAAGAGAAAGAGACAAATTAGATTTTTAAAAAATTATTTATACCAAAGTTTCTCAGTTGACTGGTTTTAGAAAGTCTTGAGTTGTTAAAATCAGAGAGATTTTAGACTGAATGAAAAAGTTGGAATTTCTACCTACTGTTCATTACTGAATGATAACTGAAGACCCAGATCAGCTTTGCATTTTGTGGGAAGGCAGGAGATCACCTTGCCTGGTAAGCCCATGTTCATTCTTTCCCAGCATGCTCTTCTCCTCACCTGGAACTTGCATCAGCCATTCCTCTATTACTCAGAAGTATCTCTTGAGAAGCTAACTCAGAGAGAGGCTCCTCTCCCCAAGTAGGAGAGAGAAAGTACTCAGTATTTCTGAGCTCTAAACCCACTCATGTTACATCCAGAGCAAAGAAAGAAAGTAAATTAAAATGTTACATTTTAAAATTATTTCAACCCCTGTTTTCACTGCACACAAAGAAAAAAAACCCACAACTTTGTTTTCAAACTGTTTTCAAAGTTAATTATTGCATTAGCTAATGGTTATATCTTTTATGAAAAAACCTAAAATGAGAAGCTTGCAAGACTTTATGGTTCTTGGGCAGTCTCCTATTTCCTTTCCTAAGACTAACCCAAACCCAGATTCCTTTGGGGGAATGACTACTTCCTGACTGTACTGTGGTGAGTCTTTGCCTCATGCCCAGAGTGGATATTTGAGCAAGATAACACCATCTAATCTCCCATTGCAGCACTTAGCACTAAGCCCTGAAACGTGTGTGTGTGTGTGTGTGTGTGTGTGTTTGCTGAGTGGTTTGTCCAAACTTAATCCTTAACCAGGGACTGAACCCATGCATTTCACAGTGAAAGCTTGGATTCCTAAGCACTAGACTACCAGGGAAGTGCCAATACTCTTAACATCCTACAGAACCATGTGCATTCTGTCTGCCTTAACAAAAGGTGCTCTTCCATCCTGACCATCATTATGGGATTTTGAGACCTTATTGCCTTACATCTAAAACACTAATTAAGAGTCTGCTCTCTTGTTTCTCTGCCTCTGGACTCCTATACCTGCAATACATATACTGTGCCAGACCACAAGGTTATTGTCCTTGAAAAAAATGATTTGATCTCCTCAATCATGGGCCCCAAAGCATTTGACCAGCTAAATTGATAAACCGTGGAACAGCCTTGTAATGGAATGCTGCTCAGTCCTCCCCAGAGCCTCTCTCTGCTGGTCTCTCCAGGTAGAAGCAGATGATCTTCTTCTTCACTGAGAGAGCAACCAGTGTGTAAGACTCACTTGGCATACACATCCGATGTTACAGTGTTTGTGTCTTATGTCTTCTGTTAGGCTTTATAATCTCAGATCTTTCATAGCATCACCAAAGTCCACCACTTTGGTTGGCCTTCAAGCACTTGTTGAAAGAATGGAGGTGATCATTTTATCTGACATCCTGGAATTTTCCCTGATCCTCATTTTACATCCCAGAACAATGTTTCTCTAAGAAAGGAAATGTCATCTTGTAGGTAAAGCTCCTTATGTGTGTGTGCGTGCTGAGTCACTTCAGTCATGTCCGACTCTTTGCAACCCTATAGATCGTAATCTGCTAGACTCGTCTGTCCATGGGATTCTCCAGGCAAGAATATGAATACTGATATGAAATCAAAACAATCAAACCTGATCAAAACTCAGCCACCTAGCAGACTTACCTCCCACTGGGGATAATCATGGGGTTTCAAGGGGCCTTTGTGTGTCCCCGGCAGCACAACCAGACAGCCGTTGTTCCGGTCAGTGTGCTCCATGGCTGTCCAGGCACAAACGATGCTATTGCTGGGCCTGAACGGGAAATAGTGCAGATCCTGGTGCAAGGGATGATGGGATGTCTTCTTGCCTGAAACAGAATTTGCTGTTAAATAAACTCAAGTCTCAGAATTCTTCTCTGCCTAAAAATCCAGAACAATGACCTATCCTTGCAAAAACCAAATGAGACAATGCTGAAGAAAACCAGCCTGTAGAAATAAGCACCAAATTAGAAGACTGAGTCAGCACAATGACTCGATCCTCTAATTCTTTCTGGATTTCTGGTAGCTGAGGACTACTTACACTGTTTTCTAGCAATCTGTACATATGTTGTGCTTTATACTTCCCGACTCTGGTTTGGGCATAGAGCTTAGTATACCCAAAACAGGTTGACTAATTAAAGAGAGTGGTCAAATCTGAGATCCTGTGATAGCCTTCTAAGTGACTGATATAAAAAAATGATTCATTAATTAACTAAATAAATAAATAGAAGGACTCTCAAGAGGTTTCGCCCAAATGGGAATTGGAATGGTTCTAGCAAGCTAGAACCATTTGCTGTACAATCACTGTGGAGAACCAGAGATACTATGTCCACATTCATATTCTCCCCTAGAATTGCCTTCTGAATGTGGTTCCCCCAGGCCACACGATCTCTTCACACAGGACACCCAGGGAGGGAAAGGCCTGCTGATGTTAGGCTCCAGGCTTAGCGCATAAACCTCCCTTGGAGAGGACAGAGACAAAGTCGAACCGGATCAAAGGTCTCTAATGGCTGATTTCCTACCACTGATGCAGCTGAGTTTCTCAATGTGGCCCAAGAGCCATCTGCATTAGCATCTCTGAGTACGCTTAATAAAATGCAGATTCCTAGGTTCCATTTTCTGAATCAGTCTCTCTAGGAGGGAGGGCTTAGAAGCTAGATTTTATCAAGCACAGGGAATTTTAAAAATAGCTATGGTATGTGATATATAAGTTCAGTTTTAAATTTGTTAGTAATAATACTTTCTTCAGATCAAGAAGGCAAAGTCCACACTCTCATGCATGGGTAAGAGTGGGTAACAAAGCTTAGCGATGTTGAATATTAAGGGGTAGAGTGACAGTCATGTTTTATTAAACTGCATCTTCTAGAAGCCACGTGTCTATAGTTCCAGCAATAACCCTACAGTTAACATCGACATCACTATTATACTTCAGTGTTGTTATGATGTAAGCTATATTATGACTAAAAGTACATACATTCATTTATGCAAAGTTTAGCAGTTGTGCTTTTGCTATTTGTTAGAATATAACCTTACATACTTTCATTAAACATTTTCTTTTTTTGTTTGCTTATATTATTTTGTTTTTGCTTTCCTTTTACAAATAAGAACTCTTACCAGAATCTGGAGGTTTGTTTATCAGCATTGTATGCATGGCCATAATATTGGGTCCAGTGAAGCACTCCACATATTTCATAATCTAAGGGAAAAGGAGGAAAAAAAGTTCATGGCAAGTCAGATGCACAAGCATGCAGCACAAAGTACATCTATCTATACTAGAATCCATTTGGCAGTCATTTAAATCGATCAATATTTCACAGCCTTGCAAATAAACCATGGAAAGGTCAGCAACTGGAAATTCTTGGAAATTTACAACACACTGAATTAAACAGGCTTTTTGGAACTAGCTAGAAACATAAGTGCTTCTTCTACAAGAGACTTGCACTTCTGTGAAATACCACATGCAAAAGGCAGTAATACCCTTCTTTGCACTAAACTGTTGGCCATTGCCCGGTGAGAAGGCAGCTTGTTTTTCCTTCACAGAGACTCTTGTAAGAGGGACCCGGAAAGGTCCCAGCAGGTTTGCAGCTGTCATGAATCACCATGAGGAAAGGAGAACAGGCACTCAGAGGGTGCTTCACAATCAATGTGGTCATTCATTCAACAACTCTTTCCTGAGTCTCTGAACCAGGCAGAGTGACAGCAACTAGGGACACAACAGTGAACAAAATAACCAGGTTGCTGCCTTCATTGAGTTTATACACTGGTGGGAAGAAAGATGTTAAACATGTAATAACATGGGCCACTGAGGTTGAAGCCCAGCTATGAGGAATAAGCTGCAGTGGGAGCATCACACCCCCTAGAAAGGACTCTACATTGCATGCCTCCACCTGCTAGGGGCTTTCTGTCTACATTATCTTGGTGAAGCCTCACAAGAATCCCTGAAAATTAATGCCTTTATCCACTTATAAATCCTTTGAAATGAAAACCCCCAAGAATAACATGTCCAATAACATGCCCAAGTTGGCAGAACCAGTTAAATGAAAAAGGTAATATTCAAACTCTAATTCTGCCTGACTCCAAAGGAGGGGGGAAAAAAACACATTTTACAGCTTTCTCACTGTTTGATCTCTTGTATGTAAGGAATATAGGGAATTTGAGTATGAGACACTTGAAATGTTACAAAATTCCCAAGAGTCAGGTCTAATGCTTGTTTTTTAAATAAGGCATTTGTTTTGTCATTTTGGGGATATATTAAAAAGTGACAAAAAGCTGCTATTTTCTTTTTTTTAAATTTTGATTGGGGTATAGTTGATTTATAATGTTGTGTTAGTTTCAGGTATACAGAAAAGTGAATCTGTTATACCCACTCTTTTTAAGATTCTTTTCCCATATAAGTCATTACAAACTATTGAGTAGAGTTCCCTGTACTATATAGTAGTCGTTACTAGTTGTGTTTTTTATAAGCAGTTTGTATATGTGTCGATCCCAATCTTTTCATCTACCCTTCCTAGACTGTTATTTGCTAAACCATCATCATTCAGAAGCCATCCTCAGCTTTTCCGTCCTGCTATGCAGAACTTCCCAAGTACATTAAGTCTTTATTCTCCCTGAGTCTTATCTGAGTCTTATCCTGATTAGTAATGTTCCTGAAATATGGTGCTGGTTCATTTTTCCAGTACAGATTAAAGTAAATACCTAGCTATTAGAAGAATGTCTACCTCCTAAAAATCATTGGATGAACCACCAGACACATGGTTCACAAGTTAGAGAGGTAGGAACATCCCAATAGAGCTTCATCTACCACACGTTGCCTGTGATTTCCTGACTTTTATTCTGATCCGCTCACATAGCCTCCGTTTCTGTAACAGGACTTGAGGTTGGGAAAAATGTATGGCTTGGAGGGGTCACTTCCCCTTCCATTCCCAACCCAAGGGGCCAGACCTCCCAGGCGGCTCAGCTATGCAGTCTGTCTTCATGAATCAGACTTTCTAACAGCACTTGGGGTTATAAGTTCTAGTAAGTACTTTGTGCAAAATGTCCTTTAAAACCATATAAACAAATGGTTATTTATTATTTACATGAACTGTAGTATATATATGCAATGGAATACTACGCAATAGATTATGAAATACAAAGTAGATCCATAGATACCAATAGGGAAAGACATCTCATATGTATGTACTACCAGCGGAAAAAACAAGGTGACAAGCAGGATGTTCCCTGTTACAAAAAAAGGTGGAGTTATACAAATATGCTTGATTATATGTGAAACAATTCTAGATGAATACATAAAACTGAACAGTGAGTGGTGCTGGGGGTCAGAGAATCTGCTTTTCATTTCCTATCCTTCCATGGTATTTGGATATCTTTTCAAATATGAGCTATTCTTAAAGAATAATTTTTTTAAAAAAAACTAGTTTAAATTTTAAAGCAAACTGACACTTCTACTGACCAGATTCATAAAACAAATTGAAAAATATACAATGTACAATAAGTAAATCTCAACATTTTGATCCCTGTGGACATGGCTGTATGGAGTATGAGAAAGGCTTTCTACTCTACCACAGAATTCCTGCTTTTCTTCAAAAACAGTAAAATTATGAGCAGGATTTCTCAGTCTTGGAACTACTGGCATTTTTGGCTGCATAATGCTTTGAGTGGGGAAGGAGCTATTCTGTACATGATAGCATCCCTGGAACCAGCAGCAGCATCCAGACCTCTACCCATTAGAAGCCATCATCCCTCCTGCCTGCCAACCAAAGATGTCTCCAGACAGTGCTGAATGTCTACCTCTGATTGGGAATCACTGCTCTAGGTCTCCAGTATGAAGGGGAAAGATAACATAAAAAAAAAAAAAAAACAAGAAAAAATAGAAGATTTCAGAGGCAGACATGCGATGGGCAATTAGCTTAAAGAGAAAGAAAGCACAGGAAGATCTTGAACCTCAGGGAGGGTGCAGTATCTGAAGAGTTCCTCATCTTCTTGGAAATCCTGGATCTTGGAAACCACTTTCTCGCTTGGCACATATTCTGATTTTGGGATGGTGACATCTCTCATCACTGACAATCCAAATGGTTTCACATCCTCTCTGCAGATTCTTTCAGACTCATTCCTAGAAAATTCATTGGTAAATGATGTCAGTACGGAAGGTGCTAAGCACCTGCCTGGCCTTCCCCTTGTTCTGTGGAAAGACTCGAAGACTTGGGAGTGGTCTCTCTGCACTAAGTGGTCCTCAATCCTATGTCGAATAGTTCTGATGACAGGAAGGAGAAAATGGCCAACTCAGAAGTGCCTGCCTCCTAACTGTGGAGTTGAAATTCGCCACCAGAATTAGAATAGTCCGTAGCTTAGTGGACCAGTGGGGAAATATTTGTGATTCGGTTTCATCAGAACAAACTAGCAAACACTTCCCTAGCATCACCATGCACCAGGCCCTGTTCAAAGAACTCTGTCTCTACTTTACCTGTTTAGTCCTAAAAGCCACTCTAGGACATAAGTACTGTTATTTTCCCCATTCTGCAGACATAGAAACAGGCATGGAAAAGTTAAGGAAATTGCCCTACACCTGCAACATTAACTGAAGAGGCTGAGATTAAAGCCACTCTGGCTCAAACCCAGGTTCCAACAAGCCGCTTCCTAACAAACCTGATCCCTGAAAAATATCTGAACACACACAAGATAATCCTCCCCAAAGTCCCACTGCACACACACAATACACATTCCTCTTATGTATCAGAGTGTTACTGCACCTAAAGCGTTGAATATCAGCATCAGACACCAAATTTTTAATGACAAGAAATCCATTTTCTTCATAGAATTTTCTCTGTTCTAGGCTTAGAACATTATTCTCCCGAGTATACCTAAAGGGAAAAAGAAATCTCAAATAAATCTAGTTTAAAAATCATAACCTAACATTATGTATCAAGAACTTGAGAAATGTTTGTACTCTTCCACCAAGCATTTCTAAGACTTTAAGGAAATAATCTGAATTTTTTTTAAGTTTTAAATCTAAAGCAGTAATTACTGTCACTAAGAAATAGAATAATTAACTGATTGTATCATATCCATTCAATGTGATATGACAATGTTAAAAATGAAGAACATAGTTATTAAATTAAGGACATTGCTTATTAAATTTAAGATTTGATGACAGTGATGTAAAACCAAGACACTATTTGTTTCCAAAAAAAACTATAGAGAAATACAGGAAAAATATTTAACAGTGACTTCCTTAATAGAATGGCATTGTGGGTGATTTTTTTTAATTCCTCCTATTTCTCTGATTTTAAAATTTGTTCTGTAATGAATACATATGGTTTATCAAACAGGAAACAAATTTAATACATTTTGTGTTTTTAATTGTCTGGTTCATGCATTCACAGAAGAAATCAAAGTAACAAAACTCTAAATAAGTGTATAGAACACACACAAACTCAAATCACCCTGTCCCTTCCTCTGGTTTGGAATTGTGACTCTATGAGAATAGTCCATGGAGATCAATGTCTCCCACTTCAAAGGTGACTTCAAGATAAACCAGTGATGCTAGCTGAGACATCAGGGTGACCAAACAACAGGATAATTTAAATGAGATTTACCATGCCTGAATTTTACAAAATAAGCTATACACTTTCTAACATTTTTACTTCTTTCTAAAATTTAAAATGCATATAGGAAAAGTCTTTGTCTTCAAAAATTTCCAATTAGAAAAAGTCCTGGATTGGAGGACTTGTATAATAAATTCTCATCATGCAACCTGTGTTTTATATCCAGTTACCATGGGGGGAGGACCTTTATATATATTGTATGGTTAAGAATTAAAATTATATTTACTTACTGGAATTGTTGAGGCTGGAAACTGGCTGGAGAACCAGTCCTTGATGTGGGGTGAGCTATCTAGGATGTGATTTAAGGCAAATCAAGTGAAGTCTAGGCATCAGCCTATCTAGAATCAACCCATCCTGGATTGATTTTCACAAGGGAAGACCAGCCCTACACAGTCATCAAGCACACTGACTATACACATACACTTCAATGCACTGCTGCTTAGATCATCTCATTTCACAATAGCTTAAGGAGGTGCCTGGAAGCCAAGAGCTGTATTATTCCAACTGCACAGAGCAGAAACCCTTGGCTGGGGTCAGGGTTCAGTTACTGGTCCAAGGTCACCCAGCAGAAAACAACTGAGCTGAGGCTTGACCAACACTGTATTCATACTTTCCTTCTATTTTATTCCCCCTGGATATTTCTTCCACCAAACTACTGAGTGAATAAAAATGCAAAGGCTCTATTCTAGAAATAAAGAGAAATGTGCTATTCGAAAGAGGTATTTAGCTTAGTGGGAGCCTAGTCCAAAATATTAGAAACAGTTTGGCTGATCATTTAAAAAAAAAAAAAGTATGGAAGATGTTTGCCAACCCTGGTTCAAGACTAAAGGCTATTGCTTTAGTGGAGTGCCTCTCTGTAAAGCACTGGATTCTCAGATGAATTGGATATGGTGGGTGTCAGATTCACCTGGAGAACTTTTTCAAACCCCTACTAAGAGTTCAAGCTCCAAAATTCTTCCCCCAGTAAAAAATCACTGTGGTAGGACTGGATTGTATCTTTCAGTTGTATTGAGGTTGGAAAATACTTGGAGAACTAGTGGGGTAAAGAAACACTAGTGTCCTTAGATGTAAGATCTGCAGTGATATAGCCTTTCACAGGCCTCTGAATTACCTATGGTTTCTCAAAAAAAAAAAAAAAGTCCATAAAATAAACAATGACTCCAAGAAAAATATAATCTGCATACTAGAGTATCATTTTAAATATCTTAAAGAATTAGAAAGTTCCTTCTAGTTTTCTTTTCTATATAGTTATCACAGATGATTGTCTTAGCATTGGGGTTTTTTTTCTTCTCATTTTTTCCATTGTTTCTTTTGCTGAAAGAGTTATTTTCAGAATGTCACTTCCTATAAACATGCTTTTTGAATGCTGTCTGTATGTAACTGGGGACAATATAATACTCAAGGAGATGAAAATTCCCTGGCATCCCAGTGATTGGGATTAAGCTCTCTCTCTCTGGAGGGCCCTGGTTCACTTAACTGTTTGGGGATCTAAGATTCCACAGGCATCACAGCGTGGAAAAATAAAAAGTCAAGGGGGAGGCAGGCCAGGAGTCAGAATTACTAGCTGTGGTCTGTTTTCCCCGAGGGAGAGAGTTAACCTCTTTGTCAGAAGTTCTCAGCAAACTGTGGCTGCCAGGACAGTCCAGACATCAGTCTTCCAGTCCTTTTCTCCTCTCTCCCACTCCTGCATTGTGGTTTTTATTTTTGTTGTGGTTGTTCTTGGAGAATTTTTTTAATACGTGTAAATGTTTACAAAGCTAATAATTATTTACTATGTTTCCTATATAATGTTAGTAAACCTGGGAAAAAATGGAGGCAAAAATCTGTACCATACTGCATGGTCCTAACTGTGTAATTATGCAATTATGTAAATACATGGAAATAAACATGCCAAACTGTTTGCAAATAATGAGCTGTAAGGAGTGCAGTTATGGGTAATATTGATTTTCTTATTTGTGTTTATCTGCATTTAAAAACTACACTGTAGGACTTCCCTGGTGGTCCAGGGGTTAAGACTGCGTTCCAGTGCAGGAGGTGCAGGTGGAATCCCTTGTCTCAGAGCTAAGAGCCCACCTGCCTCACCGCCAAAGATCCAAAACATCAAAAAGAAGCAGTATTATAACACATTCAACAAAGACTTTAGAAATTGTCCACATCCAAAAACCTTTATCAAAATAAAAACTAGACTGTGATACTTCAAAAATCATTCCTTATTTCAGAATCCACCTCTCTTAAAATGAATTAAGGTGAGGAAGAAACTACCACAAAATTTCCAGTAGTTTGTTTAAGCCTAAACCACATCCTTATTCCCTGAAACACCAGGGAGAGCTGTCCAGTACTCAGAGACACTCATCACTTCTGGCTCCACAAATTTAAATGTATTCAAATGAAAACTTCAGTGCCTTAACTGCACTAGTTATATTTCAGGTGTTCATAGCCACATGTGGCTACCATATTGGACAGTGCTGGCACAGAACATTTCCACCATCATAGGAGCTTGTATTGGTGCTGTTATAGGAAACAGATATGGGAAAAAACCAACTCTGACCTCCATACTATTAAAGCTAAGTCCAGTATGATCAGAATATTAAATTTAAGGTATTCCCTGGCAGTCCAGTGGTTAGGGCGTAGTGCTTCCACTGCAGCGGACATGGGTTCAATCACTGGTTGGGGAACTAAGATCCCACGTGTCATACAGCTAGGCCCCCCGAGAAAAACCCACACAATTAAAATTTGAAAGTGGTAACAACCTGACTCAGAAACCTCAATCTAGTTCCAATTATATCTGGTCCCAGTATATTTGTGGTTTTCACAACTGAACTTGTATCAGAACCAAGTGAAACCAGTTTGCTGGTCCCATGCCCCTGTATGTTGATACCACAGGTCTGAGAGGAGCCTGAGATCCTTCATTTCTACCAAGGACCCAGGTGGTGCTGATGCTGCTGGCCTCGGGACCACGCTTTGACAACCACTATGTGCCTTTAATGACTTTTGTCAGAAGCTTAACCTCTAGCCTCAGTTGTTCTCTCGCGTGTAAAATGCGATGATAGAGTCCCCCGCGCTGCGCCTAGTAGCTCGGTCGCGTCTGACCCTGACGCCCCGTGGACTGCAGCTCGCCAGGCTCCTCGTCCGTGGGGGTTCTTCAGGCGAGAGTACTGTGATGGATTGCCAGTCTTCCCCCGGGGGACCTTCCCAACCCAGGAATCGAACCCAGTTCTCCTGCATTGCAGGTGGATTCTTTACCTTCTGAGCCACCAGGGAAGCCACAGAGTCACCTAGGTTCCCTTTATCAGTTTGTGGATGGGATTTTAAATTTGAAATGGTTCTGATTGGAACTCATCTGGGAGAACAACAGTGAAATTAAAAGGAACAACCACTAGAATCGACTTTAAGAAAAATTTCAGGATCCTGAATACAGCAGAGCAGAAGCTCATCAGGTCACTTAAGGAAAAAGCAAACAATCAAATCCCAGCCAATGTTGTGAGCCCTGAAAGAGATCACTGAACAAGCAAAAACAATTCTGTAAAGCAAGTTGATTTCTGAGTCACACAGTGACATCTCTCTGGATCCAACACCGGTGGCGCACAGATTGACTTGGGATTAATTTCAGAAGGCCTGACTAGGAGTGGACACAGGACACCCAGCGCTTCTCCAGGAAACAGCGTAAGCACCTCTGGGCTCGCCTGGAGAAGGAAGAGCTGCAGTGCAGCTCCACCCCGAGAGGACCCCTCTGCTACTCCAGGTGCCTCTGCACCCCTGGCTATGCTCTTTGTCTCTAGGCAGCCCCACGATCAGGCATGGTCAAGTACAGAAAGTGACAGGGCAGCAGAGAGTCGGCCTGCTTGGACTTCCCACCGTCCCCTCCCAAAGCCGGGGAACAGAGGCCCTGAGAGGGTCCGGGAGGCTGCAGCGATGCCAACTCCGACACCAAGTCACTGGAGCCAGCAGTCCCAGACCCACCAGGCAGACAAGTCCCCTCTTGGGCCTTGGGGGATGCACCTGTCCTCACCCCCCAGCACCTGGAAGAGATGTGACCATCACAAGGACAGGTGATAGGAGCCAGGAGCCAGGAAGAGTCAGCCGGGAGGTTGTATGATGCACCCTGAAACCCACCATTTTCCCAGCTCGAACGCCATGCTCCCAAAGGGTACAATGGCCCTGGCCAAGCAGCCATCGAGGTGGCGCAGCAGGATGTGCAGGCGGGAGGAGGTGCGGTTCTGGTCCATGGCCTCTCAGGGAACACCTGGCCCTTGGAAATAGGTTGTTTTTAACTCTGCTAGCGGCCCGCCTCCACGTGGCTCCTGCTCAGCCAAGGCCTTGGGGCTAAAGAAGCTGCCACCTCACACGTCAGCCAAGTGCACTGACACAGTTTGTTCTAGAAGATCCTGAAGACCATATCTGTCACACAGAGCAGGAAACTAGTCCCCAGGGGCTCAGTCACTGGGTTAAGATCCCCCAGGAAGAAAGCATGCCAGAACATAACTCATGCTCAGCTACATATTTCTACTTATTTTATTCATGATAATCCTTCTACTAAGCTGCTGAAGGAATGGAAATTCTAAGAAGTAACATGTGCTTTCCAGAAGAGACGTTCAATTTACTGGAAATTCAGTCCGAATTACTAGACAGTTTGGACATTTAAAAAAAAAAAAAGGTGGACAACATAAATATTCTATGAAATGCTCTAGTATAATTTTGGGAGTAGCCACTCAGCATGCCAGATCTTAGTTTGGTGACCAGGGATTGAACCCGTGCAGTGGGCACAGGGGAGCCGTAAACACTGGACAGCCCTGAATTCCCTAATTTGAAATTTAGGGAAGAGCTTGAATTTTTTTTTTTTAATTCATTGAGTCTGGGAATGAGTATACTTGAAACCAACACCACCATCAAAGACAGTTTCCTTCCACAGTTCTTTGTCTCATTATTTTGTGTGTGTGGGTGGGTGGGTGTGTTAAGAACACAACTTAAGATTTACCTTCTCAGCAAATGTTAAGTATAGAATGAAGCATTGTTAGTTCCATTGTTAATCACAGGTTTACCTTGCATGACTGAAACTTTGTACCAGTGAACCCACCTCTCCAATTCTCCATCTCCTGGTAACCATCATTCTCTGTGCTTCTGTGAGGTTGACTTTTTTTTTTTTTGAGGTTGACTCTTTTAGATTCCACATACAAAGAGTATCATGTAGTATTTATCCTTCTGTGATTAGTTTATTTCATTTAGCATAATACTCTCAGGGTATATCCACATTGTCACAAATGGCAGGATTTTCTTTTTTATTAAAGCTGAACAGCAATTTCATTGTATTAATATGTATATACCCTGTCTTCTTTACCCAGTATCCATCAGTGGAAACTTAGTTTATTTCTATATCTTGGCTATTATCATAATGCTGCAGTGAACATGGATGTGTAGGTATTTCTTCAAGATCCTGATTTCAATTCATTTAGATAAATACCTAGAACTGGGATTGCTGGATCATATGTTAGTTCTGTTTTTAATTTTTTTAGGTACCTTTATAGTGTTTTCCATAGTGGCTGTAAAAACTAGAAATTCTTTCTATAAGATCTCTTTTCTTGTTTTTAAATTTATTTATTTTTTAATTGAAGGATGAATGCTCTTCAGAATGGTGTTGGTTTCTGCTAAACATCAGCATGAATCAGCCATAGGTACACATATGTCCCCTTGTACTTGATTTCTTCTTATTGCTGAATCCTTAATCCTGTTGTACAGATATACCACGTTTATTTATCCATTCATTGGTTGATGGACATTTGAGTAGTTTCTACCTTTTGCGATTATAAATAATACTTCTGTGAGCATTCTTGTGCATGTTTTTGTGTGGGCCTGTTTTCATTTCTGTTGGGTAGATACCTAGATGTAGATTTTGGGGATCATACAGTAACTCCATGTTTAACTTCTGAAGAACTTTCACTTTATAGCTGAAGTGTTCACTTACATGTCTGTCTCCTTCAGTGCTCTGAGGTCTCTTGAAGAAGTTTCTATTTTGTTCATCCCTGAGATGGTCTCTGCCACCAAACTGATGCTTTGTAAATATCTCAATAAGCATTAATCAATAAAATTACTCTAGCATAAGGGCATTAAAAGGAAACATTTCTGAGCTCATTTCAATGGGCTGTTCATAAGAAGCTACCCACACAGGGATCTGAAATTTCCAAGTTTATGTATCTCTGGGTTCAGGGTCTTTCTGAAGCAGCAGACGTGAATTCTGTGGTATGTTTGTGGTTGTCTTAGAGGGCACCCAAGATGGCCTTAATGTTCCCCTCAGTTTTAATGAACTTTAGACAGACTTCTCTTTTATTATAAGCCCCTGACATCCCTTTTTAAAAGAACATTTAATTTAGAAAACATGCACTTTTAATTCTTACTCTTCACCTTTGAAATGTATGTATATCCTCTAACCTCTTCCCAGACATCCAAGCCAGGAAGACTTTCTTCAGGACCAGGGAATCATGTTTTTAAAATGAAAACCCCAAAGGAAATGACATTTTCACCCTCCGTGGGAGGGTAAGCACTTGACTTTAGTGGGCACTTAATTCCAATCGTGACAGCCAGTTAGTACACTCAGGTGGCCTACAATTCCCCATATGCGTGCGGACACTTCAGTTGTGTCCGACTCTTTGCAACCGTATAGACTGTAGCCCACCAGGCTCCTGATAGAGCCAGGGAATTCAGCCATGGAATTCTCCAGGCAAGAATACTGGAGTGGTAGCCATTCCTTTCTCCAGGTAATCTTCCTGACCCAGGGATTGAACCCAGGTCTCCTGCATTGCAGGCAGATTCTTTATTGTCTGAGCCACCAGAAATGATTGGCCTAACTCCCTGCTTGGGACTGACTTGAACAGCCATGGAGTTTAGGCAGGGGTGTGTTATACATAGGTAGGTGGGGCTCCATTAAGGTGCCCCTTTCTAAGTCTTTCCAAGAGAGGAGACATCTAAAAATACCTAAATGATGTTAAATATGGTCTTTTAATGCATTATTCCAATGACACAGTAGCAAGAACTGAAGAGCCCAACACTGTTCATTTCAGTTCAGTCACTCAGTCATGTCTGACTCTTTGCCACCCCATGGACTGCAACAAGTCAGGCCTCCCTGTCCATCACCAACTCCCGGAGCTTACTCAAACTCATGTCCATTGAGTCGGCGATGCCGTCCAACCATCTCATCCTCTGTTGTCCCCTTCTCCTCCCTCCTTCAATCTTTCCCAGCATCAGGGTCTTTTTCAATGAGTCAGTTCTTCACATCAGGTGGCCAAAGTATTGGAGTTTCAGCTTCAGAATCATCCTTCCAATGAATATTCAGCACTAATTTCCTTTAGGATGGACTGGTTGTATCTCCTTGCTGTCCAAAGGACTCTCAAGAGTCTTCAACACCACAGTTCAAAAGCATCGATTCTTCAGCACTCAGCTTTCTTTGTAGTCCAACTGTCACACCCATGACAACTGGAAAAACCAAAGCTTTGACTAGATGGACCTTTGTTGGCAAAGTAATGTCTCTGCTTTTTAGTATTCTGTCTAGGCTTGGCCCCACCCACTAGAACAAGACCCAGTTTCCACTTCTGTCAGTCTTTCCCCTAAGAGGCTTCCATAAGTCTCTTATCCTTCTCCATCAGAGGGAAGACAGAATGAAAACCACAGTCACAGAAAACTAACCAAACTGATCACATGGACCACAGCCTTGTCTAATTCAATGAAACTATGACCCATGCCATGTAGGGCCACCCAAGACGGACGGGTCATGGGGGAGAGGTCTGACAAAACGTGGTCCACTGGAGAATGGCAAACTACCTCAGTATTCTTGCCTTGAGAACCCCATGAACAGTTTGAAAAGGCAAAAAGATAGGACACTGAAAGATGAACTCCCAGGTCAGTAGGTGCCCAATATGCTACTGGAGATCAGTGGAGAAATAACTTCAGAAAAAATGAAGAGATGGAGCCAAAGCAAAAACAACACCCAGTTGTGGATGTGACCGGTGATGGAAGTAAAGTCCAATGCTATAAAAAGCAGTATTGCATAGGCACCTGGAATATTAGGTCCATGAATCAAGGCAAATTGAAAGCGGTCAAACAAGAGATGGCAAGAGTGAACATTGACATTTTAGGAATCAGTGAACTAAAAAGGACTGGGATGAGTGAATTTAACTCAGATGACCATTTTATCTACTACCATGGGCAGGAATCCCTTAGAAGAAATGGAATAGCCATCATAGTCAACAAAAGAGTCCAAGATGCAGTACTTGGATGCAATTTCAAAAACGCCAGAATGATCTATGTTCGTTGGCAAACCACTCAATATCACAATAATCCAAGTCTATTCCCCAACCAGTAATGCTGAAGAAGCTGAAGTTGAATTGTTCTATGAAGACCTGCAAGACCTTCTATAATTAACACCCAAAAAAGATGTCCTTTTCATTATAGGGGACTGGAATGCAAAAGTAGGAAGTCAAGAAATACCTGGAGTAACAGACAAATTTAGCCTTAGAGTAGAAAATGAAGCAGGGCAAAGGCTAATAGTGTTTTGCCAAGAGAAAGCACTGGTCATAGCAAACACCCCCTTCCAACAACACAAGAGAAGACTCTACACATGGACATCACCGGATGGTCAATGCCGAAATCAGATTAATTATATTCTTTGCAGCTGAAGATGGAGAAGCTCTATACAGTCAGCAAAAACAAGACTAGAAGCTGACTGTGGCTCAGATCATCAACCTCTTATTGCCAAATTCAGACTTAAATTGAAGAAAGTAGGGAAAAACCAGTAGACCATTCAGGTATGAACTAAATCAAATCCCTTATGGTTATATACTGGAAGAGACAAATAGATTCAAGGGATTCAATCTGATAGAGTGCCTGAAGAACTATGGATGGAGGTTCATGATCAAGACCATCCCCAAGGAGAGCCCAACTGCTGGTATTCAAATCGTGACTTCTCCATTTCGTAGCTGTGTGACCTTAGGTCAAGCTACTTACCCTCTCTTTGCCTGAGTTGTGTCTTTTGTAAAATGGGGTGATTGTATTTACACTATGACAATCGTTATGAGAATTGAAAGTGTCAAGAAAGTTATGCACTTACAATGGTGCTTGGCATGGAGTAAGGCAAAATCCAAGTGTCAGCTACTACTGCTATTATTGGTCAAGTTGATATTACTCCAAAAAAAATGGCTGCCAAGGTGCCTGCATACATGGGGCCTAGGGTGCTGAGTGG